GCGGCGGAGCTGGTGGACATCGAGAAGGTAAGAGGATGTGGGGTGCTGGCGGCGCTGCTCTGCAGGTGCTGCGGCTGCATTTCCCTCCCCGGCCAGAGCAGCGCTGAGCTCAGCGCGGCCGATAAATCCCGGCTGTGCCGTCCGGCCCCCGGCTGCTCTACGGAGATGTGGCTTGTTTACGGGTGAGCGATGATTTCCCCAGCATGCGTCTCTGCCGAGGCAATCCCGACCCTTTTGTGTGCCCCTCTGCTGAGCAGCCACACCCGGCTGAGAAAGCTCTGGGCTGCAGCGGTGTTTCACATTGGAAAAGTGCTTTGGGAAGGTTTGGAAGCGGGGCGGTTCTGCAGCTGTTTCCTGCTGTTGCTTTTAGCTCATGCTTCAGCACCGACCCTCTCTCATTCCCATCGCCGAGGTCCCTGAGCAGGAATCCCTCAGCAGCTCAGCTGGATGCAAATCATCCGCTTGAAGTTTGTGGGACAAAAATTGATGGTTTCTAGGGACTATGTCCTAGATAATCATTTGCTTCCTCGGCTCCGCTTCATTGCATCCCATCCACCTCCGTTAACGGCTTTGGTGTTGCTTCCCCGTGTAACTCAAGCCCTGCTATGTCAGGGCTGTTCTGCTGAGCGGTTTATGGCCTCGTGGCCAACCTGGCGGCAGCCTTGTCGTGCCGTGATAACGAGGGTTTTTAGTCATTAACGTGAGAGTAGCGTCACCCGCATTAAACCTGCGCGGGACCCCGGGACTCTTGACCAAGTTCAGGGTCAAATTTCCAAGGGCAGCCTCGTCTGACCCAAAGTTGTGCTTCGGGAGCAGCATTCGAGCGCGGTGTTTCTGTCCCCAGGCGATTGCGCACTACGAGCAGGCTGCGGACTACTACAAGGGAGAGGAGTCCAACAGGCAAGTGGGTTTGTGAAGAGTCACAACGGGGAAGGGCTGGAGACGGGGATTTGTCTGAAGCGTCCTTTGGTGGGATCCCGCTTGGATCTCTGTCTGAGGTTCCCATCCTGCGCGCAGGCTTTTCTGGTTTGGGGTGCAGGGGAAGCGCAGAGGGATCGAACCGTGCCTGACACCAGGTCTGTGCGCAGCTGAAGGGCTCCCTGCCTTTCCCTGTGTTTTAATTTTGGCCATTAAAGATAAAATGCCCCTCGTCTGCAGCTTTTGGGTCCCGCTTTTGTACACACTAAGTAGCGCTGGGCAGCACCAGGGTATGGATTTATTTTTTTCCTCCCCCAGGACATGATTACTTACTTTAACGCTGTGATTGATTGCAGCTCCGCCAACAAGTGTCTGCTGAAGGTGGCTGCCTACGCGGCGCAGCTGGAGCAGTACCAGAAGGCGATAGAAATCTACGAGCAGGTGAGGATGTGCGCGTCCTCCCATGGGGCAAACATATCTTGGAAATGAAAAGCAGGTCAGCGTGTCGGGTGTCACAAAATTCCTGCAGCCTAGAAGCTCCTAATCCGATGTATTTCGGGGCTGACTCTGCCTTTCTGAGACACGCTTTGCTCCTTCACTTTTAAGAGCTGCTTTGACTCGCCAGAAGTGTTTTTTCCTCTGAATTCTGTTGTGTCTAGAGAAAGGCTGGTGGAAGCAGGGGAAGGAAATCTGTAATTACACTTTTGATCGTATTTACAAATATTTTTGGTAGAAAATTTCCCCCAAAATTTGTAAACTTGCTTGCTCTGCCTTTGGATTTACCTGGGCACACTCGCAGTGCTGTTTCCCTGCTTCTGGAGGGTGAATAGCGGAGCAGGTTTTCACCGAGTCTCCGACTTCCCTTGGGATTCGTTAAAAATCCGCCTGGCTTCCCAGCAGCTCTTTGCACGGAGGCTGGCGTTCTGTTCACAGTCTTTATTTGCCGACAGCCGCGCGGGGCTGTGTGTCGTTTCAGACGGCTGTCCTGTTTTTGCTGCAGTTCCTAACGAGGCGGTTTTCTTTCCCAGCTCTAACGGGATCTTTTCGTGCCTAGGTTGGGACGAACACGATGGATAACCCTCTGCTCAAGTACAGCGCCAAGGAGTATTTCTTCAAAGCCGCCCTGTGCCACTTCATCGTGGACGAGCTGAACGCGAAGGTCAGTGGGCTCAGCGCTGTTACCCCAAATTTTCTGTGTCCCTCGTTACCAGCCTTTGCCGGCCGAGACACGTCCTCGCGCAGGCAGGGATTTGCGAGGCTGTTGCACGGACCGAAGCCTGAAGTGCTGTCGTGTCGAGCTGGGCTGATGGTGAATCCTTCCGCAGGCGCTCTGTGCAGTTTCAGGACTGGAAAGCACAAACTGAAACAGCGAGCGGTTTGGTGTGAAACAAGCGGAAGGGCTCTCTCTCTCTCTCTCTTTCAGCTCGCGCTGGAGAAATACGAAGAAATGTTCCCAGCGTTCACAGACTCGCGAGAGTGCAAGCTGTTGAAAGTGAGTAAAGCCAGGATCTGTGTCAGAGTCACACCTGAACGGGCATCCTGCCCTTTCACTTGGGCCTTTTCCCCTCGCCGGAGATTTTGGGCTTTATTTGAAGGTTTTAGAAGACACTGGACTCGCTTTGCAGCGGGTTTATACCGCACTTGTGGAAGTAGCTGCAGCTAAAGCTGATTATTCTGGATAACTTAACCCAGCCAAACCAGTTGTGTGTGGGGCGGGTGGTCTGGATGGGCTGTGAAGGTGGGACACGTGGGTGCCGAGGCCCCTCTCTGATTTGTAACGGCCTTTTCCCAGAAACTGCTGGAAGCCCACGAGGAGCAGAACTGCGAGGCGTACACCGAGGCAGTGAGTAGTCACAGATCCGCTGCAGTGCGCTCGTGGTGGCGGGTTCTTCCTTTTTGATCCTTTTTTTGGGTGCGTGTGCGCTGTTAAATGTTGGGTCCGTGGCTGCCCGAGCTCTGAGAGTGGTGACCGAGCCCAGTGAGGCAAAACACCGGCGCTGTG